CTCTGGTTTCATTCTGTTTGGTCTCAAATAGTTTTAACTGGTTTTTCCATTTAGTTTTTAATGAAGTTTAGTTGAAAAGTTAACATTGAAAACCTGTAAGAAGAGAGTGGTTGCTTGAAACAAAGACAAAATTATTTATAAGTATATGAAAAGTAGGATGATACTGTAAAGTATTGCCAGTAGTGTTTTACATTATATCATGTAATAAAGATTTTCCAGTTATTTTAACCAAGGTGCAGCAAGACCTCATCTAATAGTGGAATGTAATTTAAAACAAAAGCACTCTTTCAAAGTGTACAAGACATAGGTACCTACTGTGTTACACACATATGCTAAAGTTATAGACCACCATGGAAGAGGTGGAAATCTAGCACTCCATGAGTAGATTGACATGTGACCAAAGCAAAAATGTGAATAAAACAGGTTTTACTACCTGTTTGGGCTAGGCAAATACTACAATTTATTATAAGTTTGGTGTTCTGTTCTAAACATAAAAGGTAAAATTAGGGAGAAAAAAATTGCATTCCTTTCATTCTGTAACCCATTTCATTTTATTTTGGGTCATTTTTATGTGCTTGATTTTTTTTCAAAGGGAGAAAAAAGGGAAGCCAATTTATTTCCGGAACTGCAATTGATTTTGCTGACTTGACTTGGTAGGCTAGTCACCAAGTCCCTGCCTTCTTCTAGATGAGCCCCTCAGTGCGGGCAAAAAAAGCAAGGTCAAAAGAAACCAGATGTAATTAGACACGTTTGACATTTGGCATTCCTCCTGCTATTGGGCAAGCACTTCTTAATGCTCCAGGGCCCACAACATTTAGTGCTACCCCCATTCAGGTAATGCCACTCAACCTCTCCCACGCGTGCGGTCCCCAATATTGTGTAAGGGTGTAGGCCCAGGCCCTGACTCACAGGGTAGAGGTGGTTTGTATCCTGTGAGTCACCAACACCACTTCCTGCTGGCGCAGTTGAGATTTCACTGAGACACAGTCTTTGAAAGGTGAAGGTAGAGAGATGAATAGGTGAGCTTCAGGATCCTAAAACCCATTTGGAAGTTTGACAGAAAAAATGGCCTCTAAAGGGATTTTGATTTTTATAGCAGTAATGAAACAGACATTTCACCTGCTAATTTTGAGTTCACAAATCATTTACCCCTTTTCGCCTTGTGCAGAATTCCTCGTGTTTTAGTTACCAATGCGAACTTGCCACTAGACCTGTTTTTCTCACACACGGACACTATCCAAAATCTTTAGTATCATAGTGAATTATTTACTTAGCAGGGCCCCTGGTCAAGGATCCAAACCCAAGTAGTTGAATCTTAGAGAGATCATTATGTTCAAATTAGAGGCCCGGTGCATGAAAATTCATGCACTGGCAGGGGTAATCCCTCAGCCTGGCCTGCCCCCTCTCACAGTCTGGGAACCCTCAGGAGATGTCCTACTGATAGCTTAGGCCCACTCCCCAGTCTGGCCTCCCTCTGCGGGAGGCGACCGGCTGATCAGGGGAAGGCACCACCCCCATCACCCCACTGCTGCTGTCACTGCTGTGGTCAGCCCTCACTTCTTAGTGCTGGCCCCACCCCCCGGCCCACCTGCTGGAGGGGGGCGATCTGGGGCCAGGCCAGCTGATGGAGGGGCTGTAAGAGGTTGAGGCACAGCAGGTCGCACCCCATCCAGCCTCTGTGGAGGTGTGGCACCACCCACGCCACTGCCTCTGTGGCTGCCTCTGCAGAAGGGGCAGCACTGGGACCGGGACTGCGCAGCCCCCTTTCCTGCTGCGTCTGCGGAAGGGGCCCGCTGCGCTGAATCGGCCCGTGCGGCCACCTCTCCCACGCCGCTGGCCCTCGGCGCTCACAGCCACTTCAGCTTTGTCCAGAAGGACATCCAGAAGAATGTCAGGAAGACGTCTGGTCTATCTGGTCTAATTAGCATATTACCCTTTTATTAGTATAGATAACACTAAAGTTATGATGCTAAAGTCATGAAAAACTGTAAGATTAAAGAAATATATGGATATGACGTTAGCATCTATTCCTTTCCTGTATGACTTTAAAGTAATGAGTAGTGATTCTTAAGGGTACAGGATTGTAGATATCAGAATCTTTCATGGTGGAGTTTTTCAGTTTTTTTTTTATCACCTCCACTTACTCCTTTACCCCAGTTTGCAAGGGTCTGGGGCAGAGGTGAGGTGGAGGGAAGCTTCAGAACCACTGTTTTAAAGCAATAGAGCTGTGCAGATGGACACATGATTGAGAGTTAGTTTTGCTATCTTACTGGTTACATACATTCGCGATGGAACTGGAGTCTACACACTTGCTTTTGAGAGTAGCATTTAAAATTATTTACAATTTCTTCTGTAAAACACCCGGATGTTGGATTAACGTCGTGAGTCTCACAGAAACCATCCTGAGTGATGGACTATGTCCAAGGGAGTGTCACAGGTTAGGAGAGCCTAGTTTTTGTGGAGGCACGCCCTGCACTGAACATTCTTTAGTTCACAAAGACAAATATTTCACCTGTGGCCTGACCAAGTGGAACAAAGTGCCCAACAGTGGGAAAATGAACAACTGCTAAAATCCTTCAAAAAAAAAAGGCCGAGAAGCAACACCCCCAAACCCTTAGCTGGATTCTAACACCGTCGCAGGTTGCAGCTGGAAGCAATCCTGAACAGGAGAGGCTAGTTTCTGATTCCTGCAAAGGATAAAAAAATGAGCTTCGAGTGTACATTTGCACACGGGACCTAGCTGGCCCTTTCCTGGTGGGAGAATTAGTAACATTACCTCCCAAGCACTCCTCAGATGGAGAAATATGGAAGACTAGGAGGGTCAAGGATGTAAATATACTTATTTAGAACTTCAGTTTGAGTTGAGCAGACTGTATACGTTAAAGGGTTTAGTTCTTCAGTTGTTAAAGTGCATGGCAAAATTATATTGAGATGTAGAACAAAATGGACTTGGATGAGATTCTAGCTCATTCTCCATGAAAAACTATGTGGACAAAGTAATCGTTTTTCATCTCTGTTCAACTGACAATAAAATCCAAACTTTAGCCATTTTTTGTTTTTCTCATTTAAGAAACATGGTTTCCTCCTTCCCCCTTATAATAGTAATTGAGGCAACATTTACATTGTTGTAGAAATACAGAAGGGGGGATAGCTCTAATATTCAAAAAGTATTTTCAAATCATTGAAAGATTATGAGGCTTGATGTCAAAAGGTACATTTCTGTCTTAACTGTCTTCACAGTTAAGACAGAAAAGATAATTGGTCTTGGACAAGACATTTAATTTAACTGCACTAAGGTTGTTTGGGGCTAATAACTACTTCACAAAATTGTTAGAAGTGTCAAGTGTGAAACATTAAATTACAAACTATGATGCTGATACAGAAAATATGCAATTTGCTTAACAGATACATGCCTCCTTGGAGAAAAAGAAAGTAATCTTGGTACAGACCAGTAGAGGGCACTGCCTGTATATACTGCTAACATTAGACACTAGATGTTGACTTTGAAGGAACATCTCTGGTGATCTCTGGTATGTTAGGCATTATTTCAGAAAAATACCATTTTATTTAATTCTTCCAAAAACTCTAAGGGAGGGAAATACATTGCTCAAGTTTTCTCTCAGGATTGCCTTTTGTTGCCTCCCTTTGGGATTAAATAATCTGCTTCAATTACATTTCCCTTGTTTGTTCCATGTGATGTCTATTATACGCTAACATTGTTGTCTGTTTCCAAATTCTCCAAGTGCCCCGTTCACAACAATACTATGTACCCTTAGGAAAGTTGCTTAAACTTTTTATGTTTTAGTTTTCTCATATGTCTAATAGCAACACTAGTATCTTCCTCTAAGAGTCCATAGGGGATTAAATGAGATAATAAAGACAAGGAGGATAGAATCATCCCTGCATGTAGTATGTGTTCAAGAAATGTTAACTGCTGCCAATGTTACCACTAACACCACCATTTATATATATTTTTTAATATATTTTATTGATTTTTTACAGAGAGGAAGGGAGAGAGAGAGTTAGAAACATCGATGAGAGAGAAACATCGATCGGCTGCCTGCTGCACATCTCCTACTGGGGATGTGCCTGCAACCCAGGTACATGCCCTTGACCGGAATCGAACCTGGGACCTTTCAGTCCGCAGGCTGATGCTCTATCCACTGATCCAAACCGGTTTCGGCCACCATTTATATTTATATAATAATTACTCATAAGAATGGAAAGAGTGGTTGTAGTACAAATACCTGACTATTAAACAGATGAGACTAAACTCTCTTTAGTAAATACCTATGCAATTAAAAACATTCATATTATGCTTTCTACTCAATGAAGAAACTACCTGAGTCACTCTGGTGCCTGTTTTCCAATATTTGCCTTTTTGTTGGAGATACAGGATGAAACGCTATGTTCAAATGCTTCCTGGGCTGACAGAAACTGTTCCTACGGCTCGGTGTATGAGTGTGCATTCCGAGTTAGATAAGATATACCCTGACTTTGCCTAGCTTACATTTTACAATGCAAGAGTAATTTAGAATTTAGGCACTTAAGTCAACAAGGAATATATCTTAGGTAGAGAGTCCTGCATAGTTGTTATCATAAGTAGAACCTAATTCTTATTTGAATCATTCTTTTGTGATAGGTTCTATCTTGGAGCATTGCTTCAAGCATAACATGGAATAAAACATTAGAAATCCTACAATTTTTGAATTTCTAAGCTTTTTAGGATATCAAACTTCAAAATCAGGTCTTGGAAAAGGTTCCTGTGAAAGATTTGAAGCAGGTTAAATCTGTAGCTAACTATGAATACAATGCCAAAGCTATTACCCTTGGACCTAAGACCTGGGGGTTCATTTTCAATTATATGCCTATTTCCAGGAATGATTTTCTTTTATGGTTTCAATGGATCAAATTCTAAATGCTGCATTATTGTGGAAATCTGACCAAGCTTTTTTTCCTTGAAGCATTAATTACATATTTGATTTTTTCCCCATAAACAGGTTTTCATCTTCTACATCTAGTTCTTGGAACCACTGTGATTCCTTCGTGTATCCCGGGAGAATCTGAAGACAACTGCACAGCTTTAGGTAAGCCCAACTTTATCAACAGCGCTTCAGAGGATTACATATTGTTAACAGAAATGCAAACTCAAAGACTATAAATACATATGAAATTGGGTGGGGGGAGAAGGAAGGGAAATAGCTACTGTGTTAACAAACGAATTTTTAACTCCCTTATGAACTAGCAACCTGGAAAACATACAAAGAAATAATTGAGGGAAGAGGGACTGTGTTTCTAGTTACATGGAAAAACTTGATCTTAAAGAGATAAGGAACAAGAAAATCAGATTCCCTAGAACAGCGGTTCTCAACCTGTGGGTCGTGACCCCTTTGGGGGTCGAACGACCCTTTCACAGGGGTCGCCTAAGACCATCGGAAAACACATATATCATTACATATTGTTTTTGTGATTAATCACTATGCTTTAATTATGTTCAATTTGTAACAATGAAAATACATCCTGCATATCAGATATTTACATTACAATTCATAACAGTAGCAAAATTACAGTTATGAAGTAGCAACGAAAATATTTTATGGTCACTACAACATGAAGAACTATATTAAAGGGTCGTGGCATTAGGAAGGTTGAGAACCACTGCCCTAGCGCCATTCCCCAGAGCTTTGCTGAGAAACCATTGTTACAGGCTGGATCCCAGGCAAAACTGTCTTCACAGTTAAGACAGAAAACAATCCACGTGTGGCTCAAGCTGAAACTTTGTACACAGTAGATCATCAATCTATTTTCATTTTATTTTTGTAAGAGGAACAAGTGATGTTCTGTCTTTGTAGTCACAGCACTCATTCGAAAACTTTCATGGATTACTTACTATGTGACAAACATAGTGTTTAGGCCTAGGGATGCAAAGATAAGTGGATGCACAGTCTCTCTCAAGGACCCTAGAGGACTCTGATGGGGGTTCAAGAGAGACTTGCTTTATATTTAGTCAAAGGTTGTTGAGTCATTGAGTCAAGGGTTATCCTGAGCTATTGAGCCCAGAGTTATCTGAGGAACCAAGATATTTTCCAAAAATTCACCTTCTCTCTTGTCGTCCTTCATCACGGTGCTCTCTGGAGGTCTGGTCTGCCTTCTTCTCCCTTTTCTGATTATTTGAACTAGAGTATTGCAATCAAGATGCTATTTTTTAAAAAAATTATGTCATGAGCATTCTTCACATTTTAATAACTAAAATATTCTAAAGTGAATTGTACATGTAAACTGCAACACTGTCTCTAACAAAGCTCCTATTTCCATTGGCCTCAGTAACTCAGGGTTTATCCAGTTCATGCTCAGGACTCATTGTTAGAGATGTTGGGAGGCTTTGGTTGATTTCTTTGATGGTAACCTCAACAATTCTGGAATGCACACCAGAGCAAGCCTTACTAGCTTACAAGCCATTATAGAATTAAACTATTTTAAATAAATTAATGTATTCAGTTTAAACTTGCTTTTGGAATAATGAATTTTATAATTATTTTGAGATTTGAAAAAAAAATTGGACTAATTTTGGTTAAGTGAATAATTGTGGAGGGTAATAATGTGTGTGTGTGTGCGTGTGTGTGTCCCTCAACTTACCTTTTCTACCTTTACATGTTGTCATTTGAGAATTAAATCCCCAGGTCTGTCTGGTTTAGTCTGTTGGCCACTTTCTTTTGGACTCAGGTGTTGTCTCTTGATAAGGGAGTGTGATAATAGAGTGACTCCGTGTTCCTGAAAATTCGTCTCTACTGATTGGTACCTGACCTGCTTCGTCACAGCAGATCAGTGATTACTATTATTAAAGGATGATTCATGCTTCCAAGAAGGCAACAGAATATATTCAACTCTCCATTTTCTTCACAGTTAAGACAGAAAACAATCCACGTGTGGCTCAAGTGTCAATAACAAAGTGTAGCTCTGACATGAATGGCTACTGTTTGCATGGACAGTGCATCTTCCTGGTGGACATGAGTGAAAAATACTGCAGGAAATATCCCCAAACAAACAAACAAACAAACAAACAACATCTTTTAACCTAGATTTCTCTATTTTTATTTATTTATTGAAGTTACTCTATATTTCCATGGGGAGCAGTTTATATGTACTATGAGCATACAGTTTATATGTCCGATTAAACACTTTATTAAGTAAGTTTTTTTTAAAAAAGTTAGGGGGCAAATAGTAGTAGTTATCAAATTGTATAGATACTTCAGGGGTACAGATTGGGGGAGGGGTTCAGATGCCTCCCTCTCCCATGTGCCACAATAGCAGCTCAACTTCTAATCTTGCCCCTGGACGTATATTTATCAACCACTGTTTTAGGAATTGATTCCACTGACGTAGACAAAAAGCACTTCAAACCTGAAAAACTTACAAAACCCTATTCCAGGTGGACAGTCACCTGGCCGCTGAACTGGACTGTCATTTTCATACCACAATTTAGCTTGAGAGCAATATGGGGCTCTTCGTATCTAGCGGCCTGGTTCTAGGTCAGGCTTTGAATGCATCTTTTGCCAAACCTTGTTGATTTCTTGCATCATAGTGTGAGATTAGTTCTTACAAAACTAAGCCGCAGCCATGATTTGAGAACATTTATTGATCTTTCTCTTGCCTTTCCCTTTAGGTGTGAGGTGGGTTATGCTGGTGTCCGATGTGAGCACTTCTTTTTAACGGTCCAACAACCCCTGAGCAAAGAATACGTGGCTCTGACTGTGATTCTTATTCTCTTCGTTCTTCTCTTCGTCGCTGGCTCCATATACTACTTCTGGAGATGGTAAGACAGCGCTTTGACACTGTTTTTATCAGTCACTTTTATACAATACAGACTTTTAAACTGGGTAAAAACATGGACAAAGTATTCTTTAGAAGGAGAAGATAGACTCTGCACTGATTTTATTTAGGAAGAAGTTGTAGTAGCAGAACATCTCGATTTGATTCTACGATTATCTCTGTTACTTATTACCTATGTGACCTTATGCATAGGGAGTGTGAAACTTGGGAGTATCAGTTCCTTATAAAATGCAGAGAGAATTCCTTATCCTACATTAATTACAGAACTCAGTATTGAATATGATAATAAATATGAAATAAGCCATAAGCCATGATGCCAGTGTTCTACTTAGGCACTTGTATTTAATTTATTGGGTCAAGTTTTGTATTTCATAAAATACAGCATCATAAATTAATAACCCCAGAAACTTAGGGTCTTAAAATTTAAGGCAGACAAATAGAAATGAGTTTCCAGGCAATGATAAAAGCTTACTTTTAAAAAGTGGTTCAGGTCAGTCTGCAGAACAGTCCCATCCATCCTCATGTACAATGCCATGCTGCTAGGACCAGGGTATGGGAACAGTGTGAATTAGATCCTAACAGATGCTATTAAAATGTCTCCATGAAATCCTTCTTATTTTGAAACTGTTACAAATCGCTCCATGTACATTTGAATAATTTTTTATGAAAGTAGTGGACTTCTACTGTTGATGGTCTGAAGTGTGCTACTTTTATAAGATTAATTTTTTTTGCCCATGTTTGATTTTAAGTATTCACTAAATAATAATGCCTTCCTAATTAGTTATGACCACAGAACTAGATATGATTAAATCTGAAATACACCTGGAAGGTCTTCGACTACAGTTCTTTCCTTGGTAAAGATGGGAAAATGAAATCCAGAGTGGCCACCTGACATGCCCCAGCTCATGTAGTTGACAAGTGGCAGGACTGAGTCTAAACGAAGGCTTTTTAATGTATTCTTCCACTACGCATAGGCTATATGCTTCATTCCAAAATGGGTAGAAAATAAACTCAAAATGTTTGGAAGATAGCTTGAATGAAAGATGATTCTAAATTGTGATAGCCCTAGCCGGTTTGGCTTAGTGGATAGACTGTTGGCTTGCAGACTAAAGGGTCCCGGATTTGATTCCCGTCAAGGGCACTGCCTGGGTTGCGGGCTCGATCCCCAGTAAGGGGCGTTCAGGAGGCAGCCGATCAATGATTCTCTCATCATTGATGTTTCTATCTCTCTCTCCCTCTCCCTTCCTCCCTGAAATCAATAAAAATATATTTTTAAAAACCCACAAAATAAATGGTGATAGATTTATGAATCCTAGGTAGGAGATCTTGGCCAGGTTATGTGACCTATTTGTACTTCACTTTCTTCATCTGTAAAATGAAGATGGCAATGTAAATGTGAGGATAAAATAAATAATGAATGTATAGCACTTAGAACATTGTCAGTAACCTAGTTAGTGTCTGATAAATCCTAGTTATTTTAATTTTTATTGGTGATAGCATTATATCATTGTGATGGGTAGAATGTAATAATATAGTGTGATATTCAAAATACTAGTTCTTAAGTAGGTAGGTAGAGATGAAGGAAACAAAGGTGAGAGAGAGAGAGAGAGAGAGAGAGAGGAAGAAAAAAACAAAAACAAATGAGGCTTAAATGTGGTCACATGCTCTTGAAATTTTACAATTTTCAAGATAATGTTAAGGCCTCTGAGGTCTCCTTTAACTATGTTTCACCATTTCCTCCCCCCAATTTTTAAGTCCCCCCCCCAAAAAAATTGTTTGAACACAGAATGTTATTTCTTCTTCTCTCTTTTTTTTTTCTTGTCCAACCTAAACCTATTCACCTTTGTCATTCTGGAAACACTATGCAGATGCACCTTTTGAGTCCATATACGTGTTCCTTTTGTTAACGTACTTTGTTCTCATTACTGTTAATGGCAGTGCTAACAGTTTCATTTCTGAATATTTCCAGGTACAGAAATCGAGAAAGTAAAAAGTCAAGGAAGGAGTACGAAAGGGTGACCTCAGGAGACCTGGCGTTGCCACAAGTCTGAGTGGCGCCACCAAGCTCAAGGGCCGGGATGCACAGCAAGCCTGATGATGTTAATATTCCTATTTTATTAATAATATTTATGTTGGGTCATGTGTTAAGTCAACAATGGTATATTTTTAATATATTTGGAAACTTTTTTACTTCTGTTTTATTTTTAACAAACTATTTGTAAATGTACACAAACTAATATAGAAAGAAAATTGATATTTTTTTTCTTGAGCTAAGTGCTTTATTGAAAGCTTCAAACTTATTTGTCTGCTACAAATAAGTTGCTCGGGAAGTGTCAGCAAAGGACAGATTTCTGTAAGCCTAAATATATGGTCAAATCAGTTTAATAAGTATATTTTTCCACTCCTCAAAGCAATGATGATTGGTTTGTTTATACCGTAGTTTGATGTATAACTTGACTCCACTGTGTCATATATTGAAACAATGATATAATGGGAATTGGGGAGAAGCAAATATAGATCGTGTGCTAAACACTACACATTTGAAACAAACTAAACTGGGAGAGCTCTGCTCCCTCCAGGCCCATCCTCAGCTATAACTCTGTTTACCTGCTTAAAGGGGAAGTAGACAATTCCTTATTCCAACCCACAGCTCCTATGGATACTAGTCACCCGTCTAACAGATTCTCCTTAAGGAAAATGAACCAATTTATACCATCTTTTATGCAAATAGTAGATATTTTTATAGCTTCACAAAGTTCCTTTTTTTGTACAGCATTTATGTGAGGCAACTCTTGCTTCTGAGACAATTTTTTTTTTAAAAAAAATCCACACTTACAGCTTCTTTTTAAGAGTATTTATTTTTGTAAGGATTTTGTTGAATTCTAAGGTTAACTCATAGTCCAAAATTTGATGGACTAATCATTATTTTAAAGTACAAGACAATAGTTATATATATTGTCTAAAGGCAGAAATAGTTGTTTTCTACCGAATAAATTTTTAACTTAAGAAATAAAGTAAGTAGCTTCTTGTAGAATTTGAAATTATATATTTAAAATTATATCCTGATGCAGAACATGGGGAAAACAAGAAAAAATAAGCCATAATGTATTTTTCCAAATGAACACATTTGAAAGTTTTTACAATTTAGACTTAACCATTCATTCCTTCTGATGAAGACTGGGATGAAACCAGGGCCTTATTTTCTGTCTTTTGTTTATTTTGGGGAAGGGACTATGGTTTCTCCTGTGCTCAGAGCCTATGGTCTCAGTGAGCTAGTAAGGATGCTTGGGGCAACTGCATAAGGAGTCACAGCTGTTACCACCTGGGTGTTGCAGGGAGACTATCTCGCTGAATGTAGACCTTTAGTTTCTCAGCATCACACACTTGATCAGGGAGCGTCTATTCTTTCCCACTTGTTGTCCTGACATGTGCTAGGGCAACAAAGATAAAATAAGTGATGGCTAACCTCTGAGGTGCCAGGTGCCAGGACTTGCTTCCACATGTACCCCTGCATTATATAGCCTGGTGCATTCACATGATGCTTATCCAAAGTCCTGAACCTGGTTCTTTACTACTAGGAGAACAAATTATTTGTGTATGTGTGCATATTCACATACAAACACACAGGTACATGTGAGCTCAGTTAATCAAATTATAATCACTTGTCACTTTATCAAAAATATATAAAACTTAAAAACAAGATAAAGAGAAGTAAAATAAAATTCAGTGAGCTCAAAAAGGATATTTCTGTTTGCCATCTAATATAGCTGAAGCCAAATGTGTAAGAACACATTTTAAATCCTATACATACTTATTGACACCTGTAAACAAAGTCTGCCTATTTTAAGTGATCTGCATTGCTTCAGAGTATTTATTGACTAACCAAGAAATCAGCTTCAATTCATTAATTTTACTGACAAGAAGGAAGTCATAGTGGTTTATCTGAAGCATCTCAACTCATATTGCATCACTAATTGTAAGTAGTTAGGTGTGTTTTTAATCTTCATTTAAGGATGTTTATAAAACTAGCCCCCGTAAAAGTTAAGTCTTTATTTAGAAATACATGTTAAATAATCAAAAGGTAGGACCCAGATTGCTTTTTGTGGATGAAAAGTAAGTAAAAAATAATTGCCTTAATGAGGATAATGCTGGGCAAAAATAAAAGTAAAATTATTACTATTAGCTCATGTTTCCTATAAGCAATGGAAATATTTTGGTTCACATTTAGTATGTCTTCCTTATTTTACAGATTTCTCACTATATTTCTAGAAGGGGCTATTCATAGCCAAGATATTGAGAACAAATGTAAATCCAATGTATATATGATAATTCATGGCTTCCTACCAAGACCATACAATAATGTAACTCGCTTAACATACTCTATAGCCAAGAACATAAGTACTATGATTAGTACTAAAGGTTTTACCTCAAAATTGAGATATATGTGTATATATGTGTGTGTGTATATATATATATACAGAACATTTATAGTACAATAGATCACTACCATTCTAGACATTTTTTATTTTGCTCTCATCTTTCTGCCAATGTCAAAGCAATGGGAGAAATGGTGCACTAGCATGACTAGTCTAACTCAGATTTTTATTTTGTGTCTGGGAAAAAGCTAAAATCAATTTCTGTCAGATAATATATTTTCATACAACAAATGCATAATACTAGGTTCTAATTTCTATTGATTTCAATAATGCAGTTTGTAAAAGCTAATGTCTGATCCACTTTGTCATTTTTGCTGCAATATCCATTCTACAGACTTGGAAAAAATGCATTTATTTTGCTTCCTAATATTTTCAGTTTTTTTCTACTCTTACTTATATGGGAGAAAAGGGAGTAACAGCGTATATAAACAGTGTTCTGGAGTACTTTGTAATACTTTAATTTGAGAAAAATTTTACCTAAAACATAGCTGTTATTCAAATTGGTACAATGTTAAAAGTATTTTTCTCTTTGCTTTTTTTGTATTCTGTAATTGCACTTTTTAAAATTGAAGAGCCATTTTGGTATACAGTTTATATTAAAGATGCTATGGAACATAAAGTTGTATTGCCTGTGGATTAAAGTAACTTATTTGATAATGAATTTTATCTGAGTACTGAATTGTATCAATTTGTTTGTGTTCAATATCAGCTTTGATAATTGTGTACCTTAAGATATTGAAGGAGAATATAATTACTTTACAAGATATTGTTAATGTTTATTTATTTTTGTTGAGAAATGGAAAAAAATTTGAAAAATAAAGCCGTGCATAAAAACTTTACCAATATAGTCTCTTTCTTTTTCCTCATAATGTATGCTAGGTCTTAAAAGCGGTGACAGGACTACAATGTGGTTAGATATAAAGACATATGGTCTTAGTTTGGGAAAGCATTATATAACTTTATCACATTTTATTGCCCACCATAGTAAAAAATTTCTTTGAAATATAAAAAGTCACATTATTTATAAAATTCTAGGTGTTAGTATTTTAAAAGAGTATTTAGAATATTAAAGAAGAGTATTTCAAACAAAATAGATACCCTATTTAATAAAAAATAACTGATATTATTTTGAAGAACTTTTTTTTTACATTTGATATTATTTTGTATTACTTTCAGGTGTACAGCATAGTGGTTAATCATATTCTTTACAAAGTATTGCCCTGATATTTCCAGTACCCACCTGGCCCCATACCTAGTTATCACAATATTATTGACTATATTTTCCTATGCTGTACTTTAAATCCCCATGACTATTCTGGGACTACCAATTTGTACTTTTTGATCCCTTCACGTTTTGCACCCTTCCCCTAAACCCCCTTCCCCTCTAGCAATCATCAGTCTGTCTGTACCTTTGAGTCTTTTGGTTTGTTCATTTATCTTTTTTTTTTAGAATACACATATAAGTGAAATTATATAGCGTTTGTCTTTCTCTGACTGACTTATTGCACTTAGAGCAGTGGTTCTCAACCTTAGCTGCACATTAGATTGCACCTTGGCTGCCCAGGTGATTCTAATGTGCAGCCAAGGTTGAGAACCACTGACTTAGAGCAAAGTAGTGGCAATATGCTGAATTATAACATAAATAACTTCATTGAACAGTTTCTTATTTTAAAAGAGAATTTTTGTGCTCACAGAACATTTATTTTAAGTAAAGACTTATTTTTTTCCTTTATAAAATATGTGTATGTGAATAACTATGTATAGTGTCAGATGGGTACCAGACTTAATGGGGTGATCACTTTGTAAGTTATATGAATGTCTAATCACCATGTTGTACACTAGAAACTAGCATGATATTGTATGTCAACTGTAATTGAAAAGATTTTTAAAAAAATAAAGTGAAAAAATGAAAAGAATAAATACCTTACTAAGGAGTAACTTTTGAAAGAATACATCAGCCAGAACATGTATCATGATGCCCTCAGCTTCTACCAACTAAGAGGCTTGGCTTCCCCAGGCCTTTCGAGCAGGAAAAGCTGGTCCCTCTGAACTTCATCGCAGTAATGGCTTTCTTCGTTCATGCTTCAGCAACCTGTAGAGTGCTGTACCAGTTATTAGCTCCTTGGACCATGTCACAGTCTGAAGATAGGGCAGGGAGGCATAGCTATGACCATTTTACAGGGAGGTAAAATCATTTGTCCAGGATCACAGTGATAGTAAACGGTGAAGATGGTATGAGAAACAAGGTCTTCCGATCCCCAATTCCACTGTCATCCTGGCCCTGTAAGAAGCAGCATAACAATCACGTGGAGATAATCTGAAATTTAGTTTAGAGTTTCCTTTGGAGAACCAGAAATTTGTGTAAAATAAAATTCTTGGGTTCTCATAGAACCATTAGGTTGACTCTGTTCACAGTCTGAGAGGCCAGAGAGTAAGAAAAAGAACTCTTTTGAAACACTTTCCTCTTGGCTTCCAGGATACCACGTTCACCTGGTTTTCCACCTGCTTCTCAGTTTTGTGCTAGACATTCCTTAGTATCTCCCATCGCCCACCTCTGATTTATAAATGTTGGAGTGCCTCCACTTCATGATCTTGAAACTTTTTTCTCTGTATAGCCACTCCCTACTTTATTTCATACAGTCCTATGCTTTTAGTTGCCATGTATATACTGGTACTCCCAGCCTAGATATTTCTGCTGATTACCAGACTTCATTATCCAACTACCTATCTAACATCACTTGTATACCCACTAGACATTCAAAGGTAACATGTTCAATCACTCATATCACCCTGAAAAGTTGTTCCTTCTACAATGTTCTCATCTCAATTAAATTCAACCTCATCCTTCTTATAACTCAGGCCAAAAACCTGATATCATCCTCTGGGAGGCGCTGAGGGACTCACTTTCAAGTGATTTGAGAAAGGATTACCCTAAACTTTTCACAACAATGGCAGAATTGGTCATTTTGAAGAGATTATGCAGAAGAAAGAAAATTCCAGGGAACCAGAATTAGATATATTATCACAATTTTCAAAAGGAAGATATTATAGGCACTAAATTTGACTTTGATCAATTTTCAAACATATTTTATCCCACATGGTTATAAAACATTATAAAACATAAGTGATGCTCATTAGGTTTCAAGATGGATTCATTAAGAAGGAGACATAAAACATGGGTATCTATTAAATATCCTGTTTGTTTACCAGCTAATGGTAACTACCCTTCATATAAAACCAAACAAAGATACTCCATTCAGTTTATCTAAATATCTGAGAGATATTTGAGAAAAGTCTTCCAAAAATTTCATATAAGCACAGCCTAAGTTCATTTAATGAAGGCATTTGGAATGAATCCATTGTAATAGGATGATAGACAACTTTAGATAAGCGTTTTTATTATATTCATTGGGGATATAGGAACCATACATAAAAAGCACTATCAGAGGAATGGTGACTTTTCCATTCAATCTCTCAAGAGAGAGCAATGATTTCCATTATTCTGCGGATGGCAGAATTGATACCAAGGAAATATATGTCAGATTCCTGGCCCTCAATTTGATATAAAGAGCAATTCACATTCTTCAAAAAAGAATAAAAATTAATACTTTATTAATTAGTCAACCATTAATTATTGGAAAGCATTTTTGTATCTAGTAATATATAAGGGGTTGTGGAATCTTTAAAGAAAGGATAAAATATATTGCCATTTTCAAGAAAATTACAAGAGAACTTTGCAATTATGGAGACATTTAAAAAACAATTCAAGGCTTTAGTAGTTAGAGTTCTTTGATTTTTATAGAACATAAAAGAATTCTGGCTTAAGAAGAAATTTTTAGGAAGGATATGGGAGGTTAGATAGAATTAAAGTAAATGCCAACGAACCAGGGAAGTCCTGGTGACTTAGCTATGTTCTGCGTTTAAAAGGTGAAGTTTTAAAAATCATAGCATTATTTTTTCTTGGGTGCCTGTGGTCTGAGACAGCATCTGATTGCCTCGCTGGGATCATGGATTCACCTCTTGGTCAGGAAGGCAGTGCATTTTGCTTGAGAAGCCACTAAATTTGTATCTAATGGGAGAAAAATTTCCCCTAAAGAAAAACCAGAGTGTCTCTACCAGAGGAAGAATAAATGAATTCTGAACAGATAAACAGAAGTCCCCCATATATACTAAATAGTAACGTATCAAACAATTTAGAGGAAGATTTCCTTAATAGGGAAACATTTTTTGGGGAGATAGAACTTTAACTAGACCTTGAAAAATTGACAGGATTTTGATATGCAAAGGAAAGTCTTTCAGACAGGGAAGGATAATCAGCAAAAACACCAGAAAAAATCATAGTATGTTTAAGGTATGCCAGGGCGACCCTCTTGACAGTAGTATAGGATCTCTATTTGGAAATAGTTAAGTATTTAGTTTGAAGGATATTCAAAGCCATACTGAGAAGATAAACCTCACATTAATGGAAAATGGATATCATTTAAAGCTCTTGATCAGAAGAGCGACAGCATAAGTTGGTGTGGTCAGCAGAATAATGCCTCCTCACCACCGCCTTCCTCCAAGATGCCCATGTCCTATTCAGTGACTGCGTCATCTTACATGGTAGAAGGGACATGGCAGATGTGATTAAGGTTACATATCTTGAAGTTGGGAGGTCCTTATAACACTATGAAGTGTATAACTATTTTTATGAGACTTGACATGGCAGATGTGATTAAGGTTACATATCTTGAAGTCGGGAGGTCCTTATAACAACACTATGAAGTGTATAACTATTTTTATGAGACTAATTTCTCAGATGAGGAAACAGATACACAGTAACTTGCACAAGATTGCATGGGTAGTGATAAAAATAAGATAGTAACACATACACGCTTTAGCTTCAGGGCTGCTTTATCTGGGGTGGTCAGGGAAGCATGTCTGTGGAGGTAACATATGAACAGGGACATATAGCAGTAAAGTGAAAGCCATACAAACACGTGGAGTCAAAACTATTTTTTATCTGGAACAGCAAATACAAAAATGCTAAAGTTTAAGGGGTAGTAGGGTCAGTGTGGCTGGAGCATGTTCCATGGTCAGTGGCAAGAGAAGTCAGAGAGATACACAGGGTAGGCAATTTAGGGAGCATAGACTTTGGTAGTGTTTCTTTTATTAAAAATGCAATAAGCTATTAGATGATTGGGGATAGGATATTGGTATACTTTGTATTTTGAAAAGGCCAGTTTATTTGCTCTGTGGAAAGTAGACTAAAGAGGGGCAAGACAAACCTGGAAGAAAAGGTAGAAGGTTATTTTAATCACCTGCTTAATAATATGGCTAGGAATAAAGATATATTAGTACAGGTGATTAGAAGTGGTTGAACTTGGGCTATATTTAGAATACACTTCATATCACCAGGACTTACTTATGGTTATAACCAGGAAAACAACTAAAGTAACCCAATGGCATGAAAACCAGGAGAAAAAAAATAAAACAAGATTTACAGTAGTAGTCAACACTGTCAAGTACAAAAGAAATGTAGAAAAAACTGAGGTAGGGAAAAAATGCCACTGGTTTTGACTGCTGAATGTCAAGATGGTTGAAAAAGTGTTTTAGTGGATGATGGGTTAGATTACACTAGATTAAAGGAGTTGGTGGTGACTGCTGTTGGAAAATACCTATCCTGAATCTTGGCTGTGAAGGAGAATAGAAATGAAAAGCTCTCAACTGTTCAATAATTACGTAGTTTTTCTCTTTGGACTTTTCTGTGTTTGTTAAAATCAATAGTAAAAGAAAGTTGACATCAGAGAGGAGAGTAAG